ATAAGGACCAGGTAATAATAATGGTGATGCTGCTGCTGATGGTGGTGGTGATAATAATGATGATGATGATGAGGATGATGATGGTGGTGGTGGTGGTGGTGGCGATGATGATGATGATGATGATGATGATGGTGGTGGTGATGATGATGGTGGTGGTGGTGATAATAACGATGATGATGATGATGATGATGATGATGATGATGATGATGATGGTGGTGGTGGTGGTGGTGGCGATGATGATGATGATGATGATGATGATGATGATGATGGTGGTGGTGGTGGTGGTGGCGATGATGATGATGATGATGATGATGATGATGATGATGATGGTGGTGGTGATGATGATGGTGGTGGTGGTGATAATAACGATGATGATGACGACCATGATGATGATGATGATAATGACGATAGTGATGATGTCAGATTATGCAATTATCCAATTTCACCATCATGAAAATATTCAGATATTATTATTCACTGTGTGTTCAATTTATGGGCTTCAAAATTGAGAAAAAACAAACTACAACACGGCTTGTCTCCTCATAATAAAAAGAGTAGGTGAATTTATGTAATATTCTAAGCTATATCACTGAGGCCACGAGATAATCGAGTCGGTGCGTGCACAACCGTCAACAACGATCCACCCTAGCGGGTCACGGTGACACGCCATCAAACCAAAGACCTCCACCAATGATCCAACAAAGTCAACCCTTATAAACAGTAATACTATCCTAAGACCAATTCAAAGCCGGGTCTCCAGTGGATTATTATAATCTGCCAAGCCGTATTGAATCAATAGCAAGGCTAGGTTCAGTGATATAACTTATGTAACATAATAATATGACAAAAACATAATCCATAATAATACACGTCGGAAGCCGCCCAGAGATTATACTACCTCGCCATGCGTGAACAGCGAAGTCCTGTGGCAGTAGGAGGGTTCTGTCACTTTTCTGTATACGGTCAATGCTAGATCTCGTCGGCAAGATAGTCTCAGCACTGAGTGCTACACTAATTCTGCTAATGATATTCCACATCATATTGACAGTCAGCGTATTCTCCCAGGTCTTGCTATATTGATTCGTGATGCTGTATTCGGAACATTCAGTGCAAGAGGAATTAATATCATTTCATAATTCCTATAGATTGGAGGTTGGTTTAAAATTATACAGGTGTAGCCAGTTTATTTCTTGTAGGATTTCTTATAGTTTACCATTTTAATTCGGTTTCCATGACGTTACAAAACACTCATTTCGCAGAGTACTTTTAATAGTATACTGTTTCAGTTCGTAATGTTTTGATACAATCATAGTCTATCAATAACCTTGTCCAAGAAGGTTACAATAGTTTTGACGAATATAATCTTTTTATTGGTGATGATAACTTTAATGATTATCAATACTCCATATTTCATAAATGAATAATTCAAATTTCTCTAGTTCATAAATTCAAATCCTTACTCCATATGATCAATCAAATCCAAGAAATTTAATTAATGTAAATCTGTGTTTGTTGATTGAAATCAACATCTTCAGAAGTTACTGACCGCCTCCGTGGTCTAGTGGTAGAGCGTCCGCCCGGAGAGCGGAAGGTCCGGGGTTCGATCCCCGGCCGCGTCATACCAAAAGACGTTAAAAGATGGTACTTGTTGTTATCCTGTCTGGCGCTCGGCATTAAGGGGCTAAAACAAGGACTGGTCGGCTCGGAGTCAGTATACTGTGTCTGAGTGGGTATTCATGTTAAACTGCGGCATTGTATCTCTGTGGGCTAGCACTATAAATCGGCATCAGTTCGGACTAGTACAAGCAGCCACACACACACACACACACACACTTACACACACGTCGCTATATAAGTGCAATAATCTTGGACGCGACGTTAAACCCAATTCCACCTTGCCTCACCTCTTCAGAAGTTACAATGTTTTAACCCTCCATAGATATACAAATTTGTGGTAGCTTTTCTTAATTACACCCGTGAAGCAAAGTCAGATATTTGTGAGATCAAAATGCTGTGCGGGGTATAAGTGGAGCAATCAGTGTCCATCTATATTCATGATGTGCAGTATTAGATCGAGCGTATAAAGGCAATCATTCGTCCATATTTCAGACACAATTGTTTAATGGACTCCCATAACGGTTTATCTGTCTGCGTGTGGTGTATGATCACGGCTGTGTCTACGGGCACGGCGCTTGTCTATTTAGTAGTAATGTTACATGGGACAGTATTTTTAAACTGAAAAATGTCTACTTAGAATCACTAAGAACCATTAACGTCATGCAAGAACTGCGTGGCCTTTCACTGCGTAATGACCATTTACATTGTCCGGTAATTGGACGTAAGTAGTGTATTGCTTGGCGTCATTTGCTTAATCAGATTGAATGCATTGTGTGCATGCATATTTACTACCGTAATGTGTCTATTTATGGACCCTTCACACACACACACACGCACGCACGCACGCACGCACGCACGCACGCACGCACGCACGCACGCACGCACGCACGCACGCACGCGCGCGAAGTTTAACCCCATTTCACTCCATCTGGATTCCACGAGATGGTTATGTTCAAACTGCATCACTATCCGAATGATCGAAACTACGAGACGGTTATGTTCAAAATGCATCACTATCCGAATGGTCCAAAGCACGAGTCGGTTATGTTCAAACATCATCATTACCTTGATGATCTGAACCACGAAATGGTGTATACGCGATTGGGATATGAAGACATGCATCAACCAAGTCAGCGAGCCTGACCACCCGATCCTTTTACGGCAAGGATGGGTTGCTGAAGACCTATTCTACCTCTGATCTTCACGGGTCTTCTACACCAATGGGATCCAGACACTCCAGCGTTGTTGGATAAGGTATGTGAACCTCTGTTGGTTCTACCTCATGTAATGCCATTGGGAAATTCCTAAGGTATGTTTTGAAATATTAAGGTGATCCTTCTCTATAATTTCTACATATTTCTATATCCCCACGTTTCAGATGCTTTCAAACAAATCTGAGATGCCTTGACTTCAAATGAATTAAATTTAAATCTAACGTCGAATGTACAATCAGAAAGTGTGCGAACATATATTTGGTGGGCTGTTTTCTGTTTCTATGACCTTAATCCTTATAGCTGTGCATGCTGTCGTCGCCAATATTCCAGCTATTTCACGACGGTTTATAATTGCTGGAATATTGGGGACGACAGCGTTCACAGCTATAGGGATTAAGTTCACAGAAACTGAATACAGCGCAACCATATATATGTTCCAGCAATTTCACGACGGTCTATAAGACTCGTGAAGATCCGGGGTAGAATAGGTCTTCAGCAACCCATGCTTGCCTACGTGGACTATGTTTGCCGTAAGAGGCGACTAACGGGATCGGGTGGTCTGGCTCTATGACTTGGCAGATGCGTGTCATCGTATCCCAATTGCGTAGATCGATGCTCATTATGGTCCAGAGTCTATTATTTACAGACCGCCGTCGTATAGCTAGAACATTGCTGAGTGCGGCGTTAAACAAAAAAATAACAAACAGATACATGTGCTTCACTATGGGGCAGGACAGAAGCCCTAGAAACTCTCATAATTCAAGCTTCCGAACACGATCTCCCATCCAACTTCTCGCCGTGTTTCAATTTTACCTAATTCTTGGCGTATGTGCAGTACATGACCTATGGTCCTACAATCATTTGACCTTGGTCCACTTGCACAAAGACCGCCTCCGTGGTCTAGTGGTAGAGCGTCCGCCCGGAGAGCGGAAGGTCCGGGGTTCGATCCCCGACTGCGTCATACCAAAAGACGTTAAAAGATGGTACTTCTTGTAACCCTGTCTGGCGCTCGGCATTATCATTCCGGACAAGTACAAGCAGCCACACACACACACACACACACACACACACACACACACACACACACACACACACACACACACACACACACACACACACACACACACACACACACACACACACACACACACACACGTGCATAATGTTTATTTGGACACGGGATCGGGGATCGATATTTAATCAAAATCAATTTTCAAAATGCATTTTATTAGGTAATCTCATCGGATATTAGTCTTTATATAAGACCAATGTGTAACAGATTCGTCGAGGTGGGGGCATTGTTTTTATCATTCAAATTCTATTCCAACATGTTGGTCTGTGTATCCATTAATAATCAATAAAAAAACACCTTGATTTATATTAAATCAGGTAGAGATAGGTAATTGTTCTGAACGCGCTGCATATGTGATAATAATGTGTAGCTCTTGTAAGCTAAATCGTTCATGGACACAACCATATTGTCAAAAACCATCCTGGGTTCCGACGTGGCATTACCAAGCGTAATTGATACTACCATTGATCATTTTAATAGCTGTCAGATACAATCTGCAAAGTAGCCTATTTGTGTATGCGATTATATTTGTTTGATTGTAAAGTAATTAAAGAGTGGTATTGAATAAACAAGGTTTATTGGTACTTGATTTCCAGAACCATTTGGAATGTATTTAACGAACGACAAAGGGTAAGAATACACACTAAACCATTTTAAATGTGCAATAAAATTAACCACAAACTCCACGTCCTTAAGAATTTAGTATAAAAAATCAGAACATCATTAAGTTAATTGTTTGACGACAGATAGACGCAAATTATGAAGAAAATGGATCGTTAATTTTATCATTAGCTGATACCCGACACCAGACGTTCCCGAGAATAGCCATTATGCGTTCTATGGCATTTTGCTATGTTCCCCAGGACGTGACACAATGTCCTTCATGGTTGAAGTAAGTTTGATTGTCAACCTACATCGATCAAACGGTAACTAATATCTATTACACTTCGACCTACATGTACCAATGTTTTGAACACGGGCTGCGAGACATGTCACATGTTACTGAGTTTCGATCATATCAGCTGACCCTTTTTCCCCGGGCGATTTACATGAGACAACCTGTCCATCCACATACTCTAAATGTTAGCAAATCCCATTTCGGACCTACTATTGATTATATCATTAATTACAGGAAGAAAAGTCTGAACTGCGTTTCTACGGCACGCGACAAACAGATGAAGCGGACCTCGGAGAAGACACCTTCTTGCACGCGCAGATCGTGTAATTGTGTTTTTAAATATCTAAACACCCGTTAGAGCTTGTTTTAAGACTATGGCAGTTGGGTAATGTTCACGACTGTGATTAAGCGGAATACAGTGCAGGACAGTGATATAGTTCAGAAGAGTACACTGTCGCGTGCATGGTATTCAAGGGCATCATGAGGAGCAGGTGTGCGACAACAACCTGTCATTCCCACAAACTTGCCAATGTCCTGTTTGTGTGACCTGCTCTGGTTCCTGCAAACAAGGTAAGTTTCCGGCGTGGGCTACTGTTTCAGTCCTAAGATTGCTTCGTTATACATTAATTCTTTTGTACACGAACCATGATGTGTGTGTGTGTGTGTGTGTGTGTGTGTGTGTGTGTGTGTGTGTGTGTGTGTGTGTGTGTGTGTGTGTGTGTGTGTGTGTGTGTGTGTGTGTGTGTGTGTGTGTGAGAGAGAGGTGCGTGCGCTTCTTTGTGTGTATCTGTGTGTAAGGTGCGTATGTGTTTGTGTGTGTGTGTTTGTGTGTAAGGTGCATGCGTGTGTGTTTGTGTATGTATCTGTGTGTAAGGTGCGTGCGTGTGCCTGTGTGTGTACGTGTGTATCTGTGTGTAAGGTGCGTATGTGTTTGTGTGTGTGTGTATTTCTGTGTAAGGTGCGTGCGCGTGCTTGTGCGTGTGCGGGTGTGTATGTTTGTGTGTAGAATGTGTATGTGTTGCTGTCTTTTCAAGTTTCCCATCGCATCATCTTACAGACACAGTAATTTCTCTCATTCACCAACAAGACAGAATATTGTTTTTCATGTTTCTCTGATTTTTATAATGAGTACAAGTGTCTGAAAACAAAAGTATTAGTCAAGGTTATTGACACTGAATATCAGCGGAGCGGTCGGGTAGCCTAGTGGTTAAAGCGTTCGCTCGTCACGCCGAAGACCCGGGTTCGAATCCCGACATGGGTACAATGTGTGAAGCCCATTTCGGGTGTCCCCCGCCGTGATATTGCTGGAATATTGCTAAAAGCGGCGTAAAACCAAACTCACTCACTCACTCACTGAATATCAGCAGCTGACATTATCAGCGATGAAATGAAGACAGGGAGGGTCACCCTGTTACAACTGCTACATGCACCAGTATAGGCATCTGTCTGGACACGAGTAATCTGTCCTGCTGTTCAAGAGTGTGTCTAGACGATGTTCATGTTCAAGAAGTTTTATATCGGAGTTGGAGGTAACGTGTCCAAAAGGGCATTTTGTAAACATAATATTTTACTTGTAACTTGCTACCACTGAAACTTGGTCAGTCCAGTCCTTCATGAACCTGGAAACGAAAAGGGTCATGTTCATATGGCCTAACGTAAAAGAGTATCTCTGTTGACTAGATCGATGCTCATGATGTCAATCACTGGACCGTCACGCCCAGACTTGGTTAGTTATAGACCACCGTCGTATAGCTGGAATATTGCGACGTTAAACAACAAACAAACAAATCAAACTGACATTCGTGCAGCAAGGACATCGTCTCGGACATCCGGTTAAATCATTTCTCTAGAAGCAGTCGATCGGAATGAGAACTCAGATATGATTTATCAAGTCATGCGTTGTTACTTTGTCAGGAAAATAATGTATTATAGTGGCGACGAAAGAGCAAGAGCACATCATTATTTGCAATGATATAATGATGACGTCATTTTAAGTGAGTGAGTGAGTACGGTTTTACGCCGCCTTAACCATATTCCAGCAATATTCCAGCAATATCACGGCGGGGACACCAGAAATGGGATTCACACATTGTACCCATATGGGGAATCGAACCCGGGTCTTTGGTGACGAGCGAACGCTTTAACCACTAGGCTACGCCACCGCCCTACGTCATTTTAAGATACACTGTCAATGTAAGATTTTTATTCCAACCTCTCTTAACATCTCTGGCATCGACAACATATATTAACACTAGTTTGATAATCCAGTTATAATGTTATACTGACTGGGAAAAGAAAGTAGTCACCCATGTTTACTCAAAATGAAACCAACAAGAAATGGTTCATCGATGGTGATGTGGTCAGTTCACTCTCATTAAGCAAAAAAATATTTCAAGTGGATGAAACTGCTAGGTTTTCAGAGCTGTGGAATGATGCTAATAACCCTAATGGTAATAAGCTGAGGACCTAATGATTGCAATTGCTTAAGAAGGATCTAGCGCCTGAGCCCTGTGTCGTATCAAATTATATCCATAGAAACACCAGAAAATATTTGGCACTTTTACGCAAAGGCAGCCTCTCCATTAACATTGAAAAAATGAGGTACAGTCGTCCCCCTGTCCCCCTTTAGGATAGAACTTACCCTTCTTGTTTGGCGTGCGTGTGTGTGTGTGTGTGTGCGCGTGAGTGCTTGCGTGTGTATGTATGTGTGGAGTATAATGTACGTATGGTGTGTGTGCGTGTGCGTGCGTGCGTGCGTGCGTGCGTGTGTGTGTGGGTATAATGTAAGTATGGTGTGTGTGTGTGTGTGTGTGGGGGGGGGGGGGTTATAATGTACGTATGGTGTGTGTGCGTGAGTGCGTGCATGTGTGTGTGGTATAATATAGATATGGTGTGTGTGCGTGTGCGTGCGTGCGTGTGTGGGTGTGTGTGTGTGTGGGGGTATAATGTACGTATGGTGTCTGTGTGTGCGTGCGTGCGTGTGTGTGTGTGTGGGGTATAATGTACGTATGGTGTGTGCGTGCATGTGTGTGTGTGGTATAATGTACGTATGGTGTGCGTGTGTTTGTGTGTGCGTGTATTTGTGTGTGTGCGTGTGGTATGGTGTGTTGTGGGGGTGGAGTGGGTGTGTGGTGGTCTACGTGTTTGTGTATGATTGCGTGCGTGACTTTATAAGTAATTTGGCGTGTGTGTGTGCGTGTGCGTGCATGCGTGCGTGTTAATAACCCAATCTTAATTTTAAACATTGTGTTAGTATATGTGTTAATTTACCTTATCCAGATCATGACGTTATAATTTGCTTTTATGTCTAAGTGTCTCGAAGGCCATACCTGGTCGGATGTTATATTTTATTGTTTGTGTACGTGTTTTTGTATGAAGTGTATGTAACATGTGACACTATATTACACCTTACTCTCTCTCTTTCTCTCTCTCTCTTTCTCTCTCTCTCTCCTCTCTCTTTTTCTCTCTCTTTCTCTCTCTCTCCCTCTCTCTCTCTCTCTCTTTCTCTCTCTCTCCCTCTCTCTCTCTCTCTCTTTCTCTCTCTCTCCCTCTCTCTCTCTCTCTCTCTTTCTCTCTCTCCCTCTCTCTCTCTCTCTCTCTCTTTCTCTCTCTCTCCCTCTCTCTCTCTATCTCCCTCTCTCTCTCTCTCTCTCTCTCTCTCTCTCTGTATTTGATACGGGTATTATAGTTGTGTTTTTATGACATTAAGTGTGAAGTGTTTTGGCGACTGTTTTCAACGTAGTTACATTTTAACAACGTTTGTAAAGTTTTGTTCAAATCCAATTTTCAAGTTAAATGCTTTCTTCTACCCAGCAGTTTAGTTTAAATAAGCTTCGTTTGAATCAGGATTAAGGAGGTGAGGTAGCCTGTTTGTCTAAATAATATTTGTCGCATTTACACTGTAATAATTAAATTTTCGTTGTGTTCATGGAAATTCCTGCATTCTGATTAGCTGAATTGGTCACGTGTTATTGCATTTATTTCCCAATGAATGTAAAAAATTAAGCCACGCCCACCGCGGCGCACTACTTTTATTACTTCAGAATGTCGGGGAATCCCAATATTACAGTCGAGGGAATTCCCTTTCTGCTCACGTGTATCGTCATGCACAGGACATTTAGCGACTTTCATGCATATTCATTGTCCAAACTGCCCTTTGAAACCGAAGGCCGAGAATGAATGAAACAGCAAACGTGCAGGCTTGCTCGCCTCTTTTTTTCCCGCTCGACCCGGTTCAACTTTCATGTCTTCGGGTTTCATTTATAACTAGCATTTCTCCAACTGTGATTTACCGTAATCAGGGAAGTAATGTTTGAATCACGCAGTAAATGACCATGTTATTTGAAACTGCCGCCTTCTCTCGGACATATTTCTTCCGGTTCGTTACAGTCTGACTGTTGCAGTTCTTTTCGCCGCTTGCCTTAATTGACAGGTCAAATGAACATTGTTTTAATCCCACTCTCCGTTGATTGGCTACTGACTGTGTAGGCGTGTCAAGTTATGTGCATAAATTAAACGATCACCTGATTCATGTCACGCCACTGTATGTATTCCTACACCTGGAATGTTTATCAATGTCGTCATTTTTGTCTGTTTTGATATATGCAACTGTTTTGGGTTAAACTATTGTAGATAAAACATGTTTTACGTTGTCGAATTTAATTATAAATATTGACTGTATATTTTTTTCGGTTCATTGAGGTATGAATCGAAAAGCCGATGTGCAAACTTTTGTAAGAATCCGCTACGCGGATTCATACAGTTTGCATATCGGCTTTTCGATTCATACCTCAATGAACCGAAAAAAATACACAGTCAATCCTTAAAAGAATGTACGCACATACAAGACCTGTTTATATTTAAACATGTTAAGGAATTCGTTTAATCCGAAACGGAATATATATTTGGTGTAATCTAGCTGCACACGTTTCGTGTCTGAACATATGAAATGAACAATCGTCTCACAGCGTAAACACCACCTGAACACAACATCCCCAATATCCAAACATGCTTAGAATATAAACATGTTTATGACAAAGTGCATATCATTGAGCATTATCCTAATGATCTAAACATGTTTAGGATTAAAAAATGCATACGGGCATCTTCAATATTTCAACCCTAAACACGTCCAGCTGTTAAACACAATGATATACATGTTTAGATCCTAAACATGTCCAAACACTAAACGCGGCAAACATATGGGACAAGGAAAGCGCCTAGTATAGGTCTGTGTTTAGGGTCTAAACTCATTATTTGTACTTTGTAGAAAGAAACGTTCCTCCATTATTTCCATTTGGTGTGATAGTTCTTATTACTTCTCTGATTCCACCGCATTGTATTGATATTGTTACGAGATGTCATTGGTTGGTGACCGCCTCTGTGGTCTAGTGGTAGAGCGTCCACCCGGAGAGCGGAAGGTCCGGGGTTCCAAAAGACGTTTAACTTAAAAGATGGTACTTGTTACCCTGTCTGGCGCTCTGCATTAAGGGGCTAAAACAAGGACTGGTCGGCTCGGAGTCAGTACACTGTGTCTGAGTGGGGTATTCATGTTAAACTGCGACATGGTA